AAATGGGGTTGCTTATAAATACAACAGTCAGTGTGAAAATTGGGGAACACAGAGCAGTATATACTTACTCTACTCCTCCACCTACCTACCTTCAAGACGCACATTTTGGAAGTGAGTTTACAACCCACTCGAAGGATATTTATAGGATATGGAGCAGCCGGAGCTGGAGCAATATAACATCAAATGGAATAATCATCAAAGTAGTATCATCTCCATGTTTTGCCAGCTGTACAATCAAAAGGCTTTTACAGACGTTACCCTCTCCTGTAACAAGGATTCCTTCGCCGTTCACAAGGTGATCTTGATGACATGTAGCCCTATCTTTTATGAGCTCATTCTCTTGGATCTTGATAAACACCCAATATTCCATTTAGGTGACATATCTCCTAAATATATAAAAGAGTTAATTTCCTTTATGTATCGGGGAGAGATTAACATCCATAAGAACGAACTCTCCAACTTTCTTAAAATAGCAAAGGGTTTAAAGATCAAGGGATTATATAATGATGATATACAAAATACAATAATAGGATACCCACCCACAATACAGCAGCAGCAGTCCACATACGGAGCACCCATAGAGCAACAACCTACATACGGACCACCCACAATACAGCATCAGTCCACATACGGACCACCCATAGAGCAACAACCTACATACGAACAACCCATAGAGGCTATAGAGAAGCAACATACATATGGACAACCAATCGATCAGCAGCTTACATATGGGCAACCAATTTATCAGCAGCATACATATGGACAACCAATAGAGCAGCAACCACTCATTGAGTCCACATCCACATATGGACCACCCATAGTGCCACAGTCCACATCGACATATGGACCACCCATAGTGCCACAGTCTACATCTGGACCACCTATAGTGCCACAGTCTACATCTGGACCACCAATAGTGCCACAATCTACATCTGGACCACCAATAGTGCCAACATCTGGACCACCCATAGTGCCACAGTCTACATCTGGACCACCAATAGTGCACAGACCACCCACAATACAGCAGCAGTCCACATACGGACCACCCATAGAGCAACAACCTACATACGAACAACCCATAGAGGCTATAGAGAAGCAACATACATATGGACAACCAATCGATCAGCAGCTTACATATGGGCAACCAATTTATCAGCAGCATACATATGGACAACCAATAGAGCAGCAACCACTCATTGAGTCCACATCCACATATGGACCACCCATAGTGCCACAGTCCACATCGACATATGGACCACCCATAGTGCCACAGTCTACATATGGACCACCCATAGTGCCACAGTCTACATATGGACCACCAATAGTGCCACAGTCTCCATCTGGACCACCAATAGTGCCACAGTCTACATATGGACCACCAATAGTGCCACAGTCTACATCTGGACCACCAATAGTGCCACAGTCTACATCTGGACCACCCATAGTGCCACAGTCTACATCTACCACCAATAGTGCACAGACCACCCAATAATACAGCAGCAGTCCACATATGGACCACCCATAGAGCAACAACCTACATACGAACAACCCATAGAGGCTATAGAGAAGCAACATACATATGGACAACCAATCGATCAGCAGCTTACATATGGGCAACAAATTTATCAGCAGCATACATATGGACAACCAATAGAGCAGCAACCACTCATTGAACCCAGAATGAAGAAACCCAGAATGAAGCAGCAGTCCACATACGAACCACAATCCACATATGGACCACCCATAGTGCCACAATCCGGACCACCCATAGTGCCACAGTCCACATCCACATATGGACCACCCATAGTGCCACAGTCCACATCCACATATAGACCATCCATAGTGCCACAGTCCACATCCACATATGGACCACCCATAGTGCCACAGTCCACATCCGGACCAACGAGCAGCACAGTCCACATCGACATATGGACCACCCATAGTGCCACAGTCCACATCCACATATGGACCACCCATAGTGCCACAGTCCACATCCACATATGGACCACCCATAGTGCCACAGTCTACATATGGACCACCAATAGTGCCACAGTCTACATATGGACCACCAATAGTGCCACAGTCTACATCTGGACCACCAATAGTGCCACAGTCTACATCTGGACCACCAATAGTGCACAGACCACCCATAATACAGCAGCAGTCCACATACGGACCACCCATAGAGCAACAACCTACATACGAACAACCCATAGAGGCTATAGAGAAGCAACATACATATGGACAACCAATCGATCAGCAGCTTACATATGGGCAACAAATTTATCAGCAGCATACATATGGACAACCAATAGAGCAGCAACCACTCATTGAACCCAGAATGAAGAAACCCAGAATGAAGTAGCAGTCCACATACGAACCACAATCCACATATGGACCACCCATAGTGCCACAATCCGGACCACCCATAGTGCCACAGTCCACATCCACATATGGACCACCCATAGTGCCACAGTCCACATCCACATATGGACCATCCATAGTGCCACAGTCCACATCCACATATGGACCACCCATAGTGCCACAGTCCACATCCACATATGGACCACCCATAGTGCCACAGTCCACATCCACATATGGACCACCCATAGTGCCACAGTCCACATCCACATATGGACCACCCATAGTACCACAGTCCACATCCACATATGGACCACCCATAGTGCCACAGTCCACATCCACATATGGACCACCCATAGTGCCACAGTCTACATCTGGACCACCACCACCAATAGTGCCACAGTCTACATCTGGACCACCAATAGTACAACAGTCTACATACCAACCACCTATGGAGCAACAACCTATAGAAGAAGAAGAAGAAGAAGAAGAAGAAGAAGATCACATAGAGCAACAACCTGGATTACCCATAAAGCTTAAGATAGAGCAGCTCAATGTAAAACCGATGTTTAATAATAATAAAATTACTCGATGTCACTCCTTACCAAATCCTTATTAAAATTCATTAGATTATGATAAAATAAATTTCCCATTCAAAACATTTGTATTTATTACATACCCCACATTCAGAAAAAATTAATTATCATTCATTTTTGTTTATTATATATTGTAATCTGCCTACCAGCATTGATAAATAAATACAGTATACTTCAGATTTTTATTTTTTAAACTATAAAATCATCACGATATAATAACTTTACAAAAATACTCAATCTTTTTCATACATATTGGACAATTGGATAATGATGAAATACACATAGAACATACTGCAACATGTGTACAGGGCATAATTACAATATTTCTGTCTTTATTATAACATACTGAACATACGAGAGCATTATATTGAGGAAGAGGGGAAAGAACTGGGGGAGGGGTAACTGGATTACTACGTGGAGGAGAATGAAGTTGTGCTATTTCAAGAGATGATTGATGATTAGGTTGTGCTATTTCAAGAGATGATTGAGGATTATTAGGTTGTACTATTTCAGGAGATGATTGAGGATGATTACGTTGTGCTATTTCAGGAGATGATTGAGGATTATTACGTTGTGCTATTTCAGGAGATGATTGAGGATGATTAGGTTGTGCTATTTCAGGAGATGATTGATGATTAGGTTGTGGTTGATTAGGTTGTGCTGTAAGCCTATTGATTTTAGGGAATGTAAACCTAAGCCTATTATTTTCAGGATAAGATGGTAAAGGAGGAATTGATATGTCTGTAGTCCTTCTAGTCCTAGATTGAGCTCTAGCCTCGGTCTCCATAAATTCCAAAACTGCTTCAATACACTTTTCTAGATTATAAAAGGGGACACCACTCTCTTCAAGTTCTTTATAAAGAGAGCGTCTTACATTTTCGGAAGGAAATCCCAAGTTTATAACCATATTTATTATACTATTTTTATTCATTAAATAGGTCATATCATCATCCGATAGATTTACTTGATAAATCTTCTGGGGCTTAACTGCTGAATTATTCTGGGGCTTAACTGCTGAATTACTTTGTTTGTAAGGAGGAGTTTGATCTTGAACCTGAAAAGAAAGAAAATAATTAGGGTTTATTTTGTTATTTTAATATTACATTAATTTATAAATATTACTTTTAAATATATTTTACCTACCTTTTTAATAAAATCAGCCTCCTTGCTCAGTAATAAAAATTCACAACTTGAGGACCAACGTGCATGTACATTCCATGGTTCTTCATTTTCCTCCCAATTGTGAAGACCTACGCCACAAGAAAAGCATCGTACCATGTTTAGTATACCAGTGTAATAAAAACCTGCTTCTGCTAAATCACAGATTGTCAGTCGTTGTTGTTGTATTTCTAGAGGCCAATACTCTAGCCTCCGTTCAGTTTGAAAGCTTTGCAGTCTTGCTTCAAGCGTATTATATTTGTGATAATATGGTGTCCGTTTCTCTTTCTTTTCCATTTCTGGAATTGGAATTATCTGATCTAAAATGCAACTCTGACCCAGGTTGATGTTTGCCGTTGGTTGATTTCTAACGAAGGAACAATGGGGAAAAGTCTTTGATGTTCTATGAGGGGTGTATCATCCTCTTTCCAATCACCTACGATACCCCTGCAAAAATAACAGGCACAGTGATCTTTTTTTCTGAGATAATAAAAACCCGCAGCTGCTAAATCTTCGGGAGATATCCACAAAGACAGGGGCCAGTCTACGAACGTATCCAGTCGTTCCTTTTCAAATCTTAATACATTGATGTTATAGAATGTCTTGGACCGATTTAAAGTGCGTAAAAATATGCACTGGGGCCGTTTCTCTCTGTGAAAAGCTTCACTGTCGATAACGGCAGCGACGGCAGTATCGATTTCCAACTTGCACTTAAAACATTTTATTTTATTCTCTTCCTGAGAAAAATAAAACCCAGCTCTCGAAAAGGTCTCCACATCTACATTTATTAGTGGAGAATTGGTGGTCAAAAAAGTATTCTGGCGATCCTTTTTTTCATAAAGACCCTGCCTTGATTGTTCCATTATTAGTGTACCCTTGACCCCTATGAGTTTATTGTACCCGCCCAACACTGGGTATGTAACCTCGCCTCCTAGCCAGCACTGAGTCCGTCCATCCAATTTATACATCCAGAGTTGTCAGGTTGTAATATTTTATGAAATGATGAAGGTTCGAAATTTATGTTGTGTATAAATAAGTGTCGTTAGTCATCTACTACAGTCCCACAAAGTACCTACTAAGATATGGATATACACAATCACAATACTATACAAGAGGAGGAGGAGAAAAAAGAAGAAAAAGAAGAAGAAGAAGAAGAAAAAGAAAAAGAAAAAGAAAAAGAAAAAGAAAAAGAAAAAGAAAAAGAAAAAGAAAAAGAAAAAGAAAAAGAAAAAGAAAAAGAAAAAGAAAAAGAAAAGAAGAAGAAGAAGAAGAAGAAGAAGAAGAAGAAGAAGAAGAAGAAGAAGAAGAAGAAGAAGAAGAAGAAGAAGAAGAAGAAGAAGAAGAAGAAGAAGAAGAAGAAGAAGAAGAAGAAGATTACTTTTGTATCTGAACCACAAGTACATTATCTAATTTCAGACTCATTTTCTAGAGAAGCTAGAATGGGGACTGACTGGATAAACAGAATACATTTTAAAAAACGATGTGATGATACGTCGATAAAATTATCTGCTATTTTAATAGAGAGTCATCGAAAGAATGTATATGATAATAGATTTAAGTGATTATTATCACTCAGTTTCACAAAAGTTTTGAAATACATTTTATTTTGAATTTGTAGTTTTTTTTTATACATACACTACCAAATTATAAAAAAACGAAAAATAAAACCAATAGAAATTACTATCGTTTTTGAACGAGAAAATCTAAAAGATCTATAGTATTTTTTACCACACAACATGTATTTGAAAAACATTTTAATTTATTAGTATCTATATAGAGTCTAGCTGAGGGTGTTTTTGAATGTCCTCGTTTTTCGTGATATGGACAGTAAATGTTACTTTTCCATTCATTACCAGCTGCCTCATTCTCCCAATAGGGTTCTTCTTTTAAAATCTTTTGACATTCTAGAGTAGCCATTTTCAATTTTTTTATATATTTATATACTGATGGGTATTTTTCTGAATGTGATTTTTTAAAACCTCTTTTTAAACACTTATATGACGACGACAACGAAGAGGATCTTGATCTTTTGATTGGTGGTGGTCGACATGTATTCTTGCTAACTATAATTTCATATTCATATTCAGTTTCACAATTTTCTTTTTCTTTTTTTTTTTCAATTGCAACTTTTATTTCTTCTGGTGATATATATCCACCGGTTTTACATTCTGTGAATATAAACGGAATTTCCTTATTCAATATGGAGTTAAAGCAACAAAAATATTAAATGAATGGAAAGATTATTATCAATTTATAGTAAAATCTCAGTTTTTATATATACAAGATAAGCTGTATGCTAATTATTTTGAATCACTCTTAAGGACATGGCCTTCTTTTGTAAA